CCATGGTGGGGGGGGGGGGGGGGAGATTTGCTCAGCCTGCTAGTCAGCGCCCATGTTGGTGTCCCCGGCCTTGGCAAATGCGCAGGGAGAGCAGCGGCCGAGCCCACGGTGATGGCTTGACTATCCGACTCCTCCAGCTGCAGAACATCTCTGGGCTGGACCTGGAGAGCGAAGAGCTGGGCGGGTTGCCCCAGCGGCAGAGCCTGAAGTACCTGTGCGTCGTGGAAGTGATGCTGCGCCATCATGGGCTCTGCCCCAGGGGGCTGGGCGTGGCTGAGGCCCATGTGGAAAATGGCCAAGGTAGGTGCCCATTGCTCACTGATGTCAGTGTGTGTTACTCCCTCTGGGCAGAGCCTCAAAGCGCTAGGCTAGTGCGCTGCTGTTGGACTCTGCTTCGATCGAGAGTCTGCAGTGAGGCTGCGTGCTCCCTTGCACGGCCAGGTATGCCTGCCGGAGGCCCGGGACTGGAGTTATGGGCCTTCTGCCGCTCCATTCCCTCTCCTCACTGTATCTGCCCCAGTAAATAATCTTCCCGCCAGAGTAATGCGGATTCCGGGGGAGCGTTTGATTATCAGAAGGAAGTAAGCTCTGCAAGGCGCTCTTGGTGCTATTGCACAACCGTCCTGTTTGCAAATGTCATCTTTGGAATAACACGCGGCCATTTTTTGTGTTTAGATCCCCTTGAGCTTGTCACAAAAACAGGAAATGTTCAGAAACTGGCAGTCGAGAAAGCTCTGGCGAGTGCATTTCAGAAGATCCTTCTCATAGTTTTAGGTAAGGCGTCTTCATGCGTTGATTGTAACTATCTGGGGGCTGTGTCTAAGAACAGGTGTGTTGTAGCTTTCGTAATAGTGAATAGGAACTGCTATAAAAAAGGTTTCTCAAAAGTGTTGCTTCGGGTTGAAAGCTTCCTCGTTCGGTCTCAGCTCAAAGTTTAGATTTGTGCGTGTGCAAAGTTTACACCAGACAAGTCAGCCATTTGTCAGCTGAGTGGAAGGAAAAATATACTTGGTGTTTTGTAAAGGAACAAATGGGTATTTTTGATATCGAGAGAACTGAAACAGCCGAATGACTGAAAGCATGGAAACTTTCAAGTGCAAACCCTGCATTAATACAATGTTACGGTTGTAAATTTGAACACAAATCCAGGATTTGAAGGAGTTAAGGCTCCAGTCGGAACATTAACCAAGCCACACGGATACACGTTACTTCTGATGACAGGCTGGCCTTTGCTGTCCCTTGGCTGCAGTGAGACGCCCCATCTCTCCATGGCTACGTCTACACTGGCACCCTTTTCCGGAAATGCTTAAAACGGAACAGTTTTTCCATTATAAGTATTTCTGGAAAAGCGTGTCTACATTGGCAGGGTGCTTTTCCGGAAAAGCACTTTTTCTGGAAAAGCGTCCGTGCCAATTTAGGTGCGCTTTTCCGCAAAAAAGCCCCGTTCGTCATTTTCGTGATCGGGGCTTTTTTGCGGAAAAGACTACTGTGCTGTCTACACTGGCCCTTTTCCAGAACAGTTTTTCCGGAAAAGGACTTTTGCCCGAACGGGAGCAGCATAGTTTTTCCGGAAAAATGACAATTTTACATTAGATCATCATTGCTTTTCCGGAAAAGTAAGTGGCCAGTGTAGACAGCTTGCAGCTTATTCTGGAAAAGCGGCTGCTTTTTCCAGAATAAGTGGCCCAGTGTAGACACAGCCCATGTGTTTTCATTATCGTCTGTCTCTAGGGTCTATCTGGCTACCACCCGAGTCTCCCCTTGGCGCTAGGGCAGTGAATTGGGGCTGTTGTCAGTACCCGACTGGCTGCGGGTGGAGCTGCACTGTGCTGACGTGCTGCAGTTTCTGCGGGTGCGAGCTGGGGTCTCTGTGCGGGCGCTGGAGGTCGCCCTCAGCATCGCCAAAGGGGAGCGTTTTCAGACCGACTTGGGCTGCCAAGCCCTTGGCCCGGCTTTAGAATTATACGCTAAGTGCCTTGCCCCAAGTTGCAGCCCCGGCGTGGCAGAGCCTGGAATCCAGCCCAGGCCCCCGAGTCCCCTCGCCCTGGCCAATGCGTACGAATAACTGTGCTGGCTACGGGGCCCAGAGGGACACGCCGGGGCCCGTGCGCTGAGACCGAGCGCCTTTCCTGGGCTGCCTGTGCGCTCCTTCCCCCATGTGTGGCTAGGGCCGGGGAGGGCCCTCTCCAAGCGAGGTGCTCCCGAGGGGCGTGCCTGGGGGTTTCAGTCTTTGTCCATGAGCGTAGAGCTTAGTCCTGCTGCTCTCCCCTGCATGGGGGCGTGGAAGGGAAGGTTTGTGGAAGGGCATTTGGGCCTGACTTGCGATTAGCCATTGGATTGTGCACACGCCCGCCTCTGGTCTAGGTGCCTGGCTGGTGGTGCCCATCAGTACTGTGTCCACATGAATAATCTGAAACATGCACTGAATCCCGGGGGAGGGGGAGTTGCACTTCTAGACACAGTCGGTCTGCAGTCTTTCGGGTGTTCTGGGCGGAGGAGTACGTCCCTCTGAGGCCCGTGCTCAGGCCCTGATACGGCAAAACCTTAAGCATGGGCATAAGTCCCAGGAAACGGATGGGATTGAAGTGAGTCCCTAGGCGCACTTGGCTTCACACCGCTGGCTTAGACGTTCCAAATGGCGCTTAGGCCGTGTCTGCATCGCAGCGCCATGCCGGCAAGTCACCGTGTGCAGACACAGCGGATGCCGATAGTTCTGCCCTGGGCCACGGTCGCTCAGCTGCCAGATTCACTTGTCTGCACTGAGGGCTTAGTTGTGGCTCATTGTGGGGTGTGACTTCATTGTCGTTGTGCTGTGTAACTTTGTGATACAGAGCAGGTCTGAAGTGGGTTTCTGGAATGAAATGTCTTATGGGCTTCCTGCTCTCCGGCCTGGCACTTCTCCGGAGGCCGGTAAATAGCAAGCCCTTGTTTGACTGGTCCCTGCGTTTCCCGTCTCTGCTTGGCCTCACAAGTGCCTTCTGCTTGCTGCGGAAAGCAGATGCTCCGGGGCAGAGCAGGGCCCAGAGTGTACGAAGATAAAATGATCCTGCTCCATCTCTGAGCTTTCTCACTGCCTGTACAAAGCAGGATGATACGGCTCAGTCTGAGGATGTTGAGGCGGGTGCTTGGCTGATCGTGTAGTTGGTACAATTTGAACATTTTCAGCTGTAGAGCTGCAGTGGGGGTAGCTCCCTGAGTCGGTGTCAGCTGGGCCTGAGCAGTCCGGCTCGCGCCGGCTCTGGAACCACTGCAGCCCCTCCTCCCCGTGCACTCCACAGACGGTGCTGGGGGACTGGCTCCCACTCCTGCTTTCTCCCACCCTGAGGCAGCAAAGGGAGGGGGAAGCGAGTATTCAACTGCTCAGCGAGTTGTTTCCATCCCTAGCTCAGTCCGGCCTTCACAGCGTGTGGGATCATTCTGAGGTCAGTTCTAGAGTGGGGGGAACACGCCTGCCTCATTCTCGTGTTGCATCCGTGTTTCAGAGAACGGGAAGGTGGCTGTGGAGTACAACGCTGCCCAGGAAGAACCCATCGACCCCTTCACGGATGAGGAACTGAGAGGACTTGTTCAGGTAATCGGAGGCTGCTTTGTCTTGCGCGACAGGCGCTTGTTGCTGCACTCCGAAGGGAGCAGAATGGGGAGAGCAGCCTGCCGCCACGGGCAGCAGCAGGAGGGAATGGAAACGCCAGCTTGCCCTGGTATCTCTCCTGAGCCCTGCACGTGGAAACTGATTTCCAGTCATCGTCTGTCTTGCCCATGAGCGGTGGCCGTTCCCGGTCCCTGTCTAGTGCACCTAGGCGATCCTGGGGTGCACTTCTTCTGGCCACGTCCTACAGTACGGCTGCTTGTAATCAAGTCCTGGAATTATCCAGGACGTGGAGATTTTAAAACTTTGTTCTTGGTATCTTTGTAAAAAATCCATCATTTTGCAAATAGCAAGGGAGACACTAGGGAGGCTGGGGAGACCCTGTTCTCAGCCACGTTGCATAACTCCTGACAAAGCCCAGGCCCAGGCCTCCTGCATTGGGTGCGAGCAACCCTCTAAGGTCGACACAGATGAGTCTTTAGAGCCATTCTAAAATCAATCTCTCTCCTTTGGGTGGAACTTTATCTCCTCCCTCCAAGGCTAAAAGCAAAGAGTGAACAAAGGGGTCTCAGCAAACTGGTGCAACAGATGAAAATGGGTGTGAAGTGCAGAGTCACGCACCCTGGAGAAAATAATCCCAAGTGCACATACCAGATGGTGGGCCCTTGAGCTAAATGGACTGAAGACAGACACTGGAGTCCTTGGGGATGGTTCTCTGAAAACGTCCCCCAGGGTGCAGCGGCAGGCAGAAAGGTGAACAGATGTTGGGAATCCTGAAGATAGCAATAGAGAACAAGGTATCACCATGCAACTATAGGCTGAACCTCTCTGGCCCGGCATGATTGGAGTCAGCCGGATGTCCCCTTCGCATGGGTGTGGCCGAGTGCCCCACGGTTCCATGCAGTTTGTGCTCTGTTCTGTGCTGCTGTTTAGCTCTAACTGACCCCTAAGAGCCCAGCGAGCCGTGCTGCTAGCTAAGGTTGACCTCCCGTGGTCTGGTTAATTCTGTGGTTCGGAACCACTCAGGTCCTGAGGGTGCTGGACTAGAGAGGGTAACCTGGATCCCACCTCTAACAAAGAGATGGGGAAAGGTGCAGAAAAGGACTACGGAAATGACGAAGGGTATGGGGCAGCTTCACCGGCTGGACCAGTTGAGTTTAGAAGAGACGTGATGAAGGGGCGGGTAGGATGGGGATGTGGCCTTTCACGCCGCTATGGAGGAAGTGAATAGGGAAGTGCTATTTACCATTCACCTAATGCAAGAACTAGAGGTCACCTTATGAAAACGAGCAGCTGCTTGGCTTAAACCAAACAGAACTTCACACAACGCAGTCAGCCCGGGGGACTTGTTGCCGGGGAACTTGTGAAGGCCAGTAATGTAACTGGGTTCAAGTGCGGGTCCCTTAGTGGCTTTTGGTCAGGAATGGCAGAGATGTAGCCCTACGTGCTGCATGTTCCAAAGCCACAAAAGCCGGGACTGGACCGGTGTGCCGGAGCCCTTGGTAATTGCCAGGCTCTGTTGTTCCCCCTGAAGCATCTGGCACAAGCAGGACGTGGGAGGAAGAAAACTCTCCCTGTGCCGGCCCTTGCTCCTCGGGAAATGAGGGTTACAGAAGTCGGAGTGAGAGGCCCGTTCCTTTGGAATGATTTTGAAGTGAAGGGTTGGCTGCGTGGACACAGACTCTGCTACTTCCACGAGAAGGAACAAGAAGACTGTTTATATATCAGAAGCAAGAGGAAGACCCAGGACAGGGCAGGCCCATTGCTCAGTGAGGAGCGAGAGACGAGAACAGGAAATCTGGAAACGAGAGAGGTGCTTAATGACTTCGTTTCAGTCTTCCCCAGGGAGTCTGATGATAAAAGAATGCCTGACACAGTGAATGCTAGTGGGCATGGGGCAGAGTTAGAAGATAAAATTAAAAAAATAAAATAAAAATCACTTAGAAAAGTTAGATGTCTACAAGTCAGCAGGGCCTGATGAAATGCGTCCTAGAATACTCAAGGAGCTGATAGCGAAGGTATCTGAGCCATTAGCTGTCATCTTTTGAAAAATCATGTAAAACGGGAGAGATTCCAGAAGACTGGAAAAGGGAAATAAGAACAACCCAGGAAACTACAGACTAGTCAGTTAAATTTCTGTGCCAGGAAAGATAATGGAGCAAGTAATTATGGAATCCATCTGCAAGCACCTGGAAGATAATAGGGTGATAGGTAACAGTCAGCATGGATTTGTAAAGAACAAATTATGTCAAACCAATTTGATATCCTATCAAAGCTAACGAGCCTTGTGGATAAGGGAGAAGCGGTGGACGTGGTATACCTAGACTTAGTAAGGCATTTGATATGGTCTCACATGATCTTCTTATCAATAAACTAGGCAAATACAACTTAGATGGGGCTACTATAAGGTGTGTGCATAACTGGCTGGAAAACTGTTCTCAGAGCATAGTTATTAATGGTTCACAATCCTGCTGGAAGGGCATAACAAGTGGGGTTCTGCAGGGGTCTGTTTTGGGACCGGCTCTGTTCAGTATCTTCATCAATGATTTAGATGATGGTATAGAGAATATGCTTAAGTTTGCAGATGATCCCAAGCTGGGAGGGGTTGCAAGTGCTTTGGAGGATACGGTCATAATTCAAAATAATCTGGACAAACTGGAGAAACAGTCTTAGATGTAAATAGAATGAAGTTTAATAACGATAAATGGAAAGTGCTCCACTTAGGAAGGAACAATCAGTTTCACACACACAGCCTGGGAAGCGACTGTCTAGGAAGGACGACTGCAGAAAGGGATCTAGGGGTTATACTGGACCACAAGCTAAATATGAGTCAACAGTGTGACGTTGTTGCAAAAAAAGCCAACATGATTCTAGGATGCATTAACAGGTGTGTTGTGAGCAAGATACGAGAAGTCGTTCTTCCGCTCTACTCTGCGCTGGTTAGGCCTCAGTTGGAGGATTGTGTCCAGTTCTGGGCACCGCATTTCAAGAAAGATGTGGAGAAATTGGAGAAGGTCCAGAGAAGAACAACAAGAATGCTGACAGACCTATGAGGGAAGACTGAAAGAATTGGGCTTGTTTAGTTTGGAAAGGAGAGGACTGAGAGGGGACATGATAGCAGTTTTCAGGTATCTAAAGGGTGTTATAGACAGGAGGAGGGGAAATGTTTCTCCTTGGCCTCTGAGGACAGGACAAGAAGCAATGAGCTTAAATTACAGCAAGGGAGGTTTAGGTTGGACATTAGGAAAAACTTCCTGCCTGTCAGGGGGGTTAAACACTGGGATAAGTTGCCTGGGGGAGTTGTGGCATCTCCATCTCTGGAGATATTTAAGAGCAGATTAGAGAGACCTCTGTCAGGGTTGATCAGATGCTGCTGGATCCTGCCATGTGGTCAGGGGACTGGACCTGATGGCCTCTCGAGGTCCCTTCCAGTTCCCGTGTTCTAGGATCCCATGACCTAAGCGTGCAGTGTAGACACAGCCTCTGAAAGCGGGGGGGCGGGGGAGGGCATGCAGGGAATGATCCATTCAAAATGCCTCCCCTCCCTGGCGGCAGGTACCAATGCGACCTGTTTGAGGGGTCTCTGTGAACCTGATGCTCTCGAGGTGCGGGTGGGCAGAGCGGTGTTGTCGTGATGACACCGGCCGGGCAGGGCGTGTGCTAGTTCTGCATCTAAGCCAGTGGCGGGGGAAGTGCTGCGCAATTGGCGTAGGTTATTGTTAGTTAAGGAAAGGTTATGGCTCTCCTGCTGCCTTGTTCTCAGTCTAATTTGGGCTCTCAAACTCATGGGCCATCTACAACCTGAGCAGTTCTCCGATCCGGCCCAGCGGCGGCTGCCGGCGTGCGTGTCCCTGTGGCCCCGAGGCGTATGGCTGTCCCTGAGCCCAGCCCTGCTCTGCCCTCTCCCCCCATTGCACCCCTCCCCTTAAGCTCCCTGCCCAAAGGGACGTGTCCTGGGAGGTGGTGGCATAGCGGACTGCTGTGTGGGTCAGCCTCCCGGTGGCTCCCATTGCCATGGGGAGTGCTGGGGGCCACGGCTAAGCTGAGGCTGGGGGACCATCCCATCCACAGGATGGTTGGGGTGGCTGCTGTGGAACCCCCCCAAAGCACAGGGCGGCCACCTGAGCCGTTCTCTGGGACAACTCTGGACACGTGTCCCCCATGCCACAGCCACGTGCCAGCAGCGGGAAGCCGCTCTAGCCCGCTGTGTTGCCCATGCTGGTGGGAGCCCATGGGGGAAGGTTAAGTCGCCTGTGGATGGCAGGTGGGCCATGGGAAAAAATGGGATTGGGGGGGGGGAGGACATGCATAGACTGCTTCTGCCCCTCCCCTCCTTCCCCCTCAAGCTCTGCCAGAGGGGTGCCCGCTGGCCTTCTGGGAGGGTTTGAGGACTGGCCCTAAGGTAAACTGAGCTTGAGCCCCCCGCTCTAACTCTTCCTTGCCATTGCACCTGTCAAAGGGCTTGGCGTTGGGGGAATCGATTTAATCACGGTCAATGGGAAGCGTGTGGTAAAGCCAAGAACAAAACCTGGATCGGATTGTGTCCTATGTTTCAACCCGAAAATCTCCCTCCCTTGGTGGCGTGTGGGATTTGAACTAGCAACCTCTCCCTCTCGGGACGTGAACCACTGAGAGCAACGAGCCAGCTTGGAGGAGAGTCCGCAGGGGAGCTTCCCTTTGTGTAAGGGAACGAACAGAGCCGCTGCCTGCCCAGAGTGGGAGAGTTGACTTGTCGAGAACACGGGGAGGGAACCTGTCAGGATTCCAAGCAGGGCAGCCGTTTCCTGTGGTCGGACCAACGCACCGTGGTTCATTCTGCATTTCCAGGAGATGACACAGGAAGTTGAATATTTGGTGCTGAGTAGCAATTACACCCTTAAATTCTCATTCCAGGTCAATGACTTGTCCTTGGAGCAGCTGAACCTCAAGGAAGAAGAAGAATCCCTGTCGGATTTCAGTTTTGATGAAGAGCAGCTGCTGGAAGGGAGACAGTCCAATTAGTGCAGCTCACTTGTAGAGTATCTTGGGTCTTACAGTATCTTGGAGCGTTGCTCGGGAATGGAAGCAAAAGGCTCTAACATTGCACATGCTAAATGTTTCAGATGTTTTGTTTTCTGATCAGAGGGTACAAATAAATCGTTGCTGTCTATTGTTGCTCAAGACTGATGAACCTAACTAAGGATCCCCAGTTCATTCCTTTTCTCATGGACCATGAGAACATGGGCAGTGCCTGCATTGGCCTCTCGTATGGTCGTAATGCTTGCAGCTCTGCAGTCAGCTAGATTGTACTCACGTTTCATGCTGCAGGGTTTCAGCAGGCCAACCTACACGGGGCAGGCAGGAATTCTTTCCCCGGTGCACCGTCTCAGAGAGCAGCAGTGGGTGGGTGCCCAACCACTAGGAACCTTAAGTAGTTGCACAACTTACACACCTAAGACAAATTCTTTAGCTCATGTAATCTCCCCAGCCAGTGGCTGCGAGATAAAAGCAATCTGCCGGTGGCCCCTTTCGTTCCATTAACCTGCGGTCAGGCGAAGTCGGTGCAGGCTCTGGGAGGTGCAGAAGGGATGGGGGGTCAGGCTCTGGGATGGAATTTGGATTCCAGTGAAGGTTTGGGGTGCAGGCTGTGGGAGGGGTGCTGGGTGCAGGCTCTGGAGTGGGACAGTGGGTTGGGGTGCAGGCATGGAATGGTTTGGGTGCTGAGGGATGTAGGCTCTGGGAGGGAGAGAGTGTGGATGTGGGGTGTGATGCTTCTCTGGGCCAGCTCTGATAAGCAACCCTCCTTAGGCTGCTGCCCAGGGCTTGGGGGCAGAGGTGGACAGTAACTAAGCATAAATACTTTGGTACAATACTCGAGTACATTTTTTTGATATTTGGGCTTAAGTAATTTCTTTTTGTGATACTTTGACTTTTACTCAAGGGGTGCATCTAGACTGGCAAAATTTTGCGCGAAAGCAGCCGCTTTTGCACAAAAACTTGCCAGCTGTCTACACTGGCCGCTTGAATTTGCGCAAGAGCACTGACTTTGTAATGTACAAAATCAGTGCTTCTTGCGCAAATACTTTCACACTCCCGCTCAGGAAAAAGCCCTCTTGTGCAAAAAAGCCCCAATGGCCAAAATGGCGATCGGGGCTTTCTTGCGCAAAATCGCGTCTAGACTGGCCACGGATGCTTTTGCGCAAAAGCATCTGTGCTGATCTAGATGCGCTTTTGCGGAAATACTTTTAACGGAAAAACTTTTCCATTAAAAGTATTTCTGCAAAATCATGCCAGTCTAGACGCAGCCAAGTAGTTTTTTAGAAAATGTACGTCTCACTCCGCTCCCGTTGCCGGCAGCGCTTAGTTACTCGCGACTTTCAGCACCCGCTGGCAGCGGCGCAAGCCGGCATTCTGATTTGCTAAAGCACAGCCGCATGCCCAGAGCATCCAGTCATCAGGCAGTGACTGGTTTTAAAGTAACCAGGCACAATGACCCTGCCATGAAGAAGCCTTCCTGAGGAAGAGGGGTTTTTGTTCAGAAAGGCGCCGTCTACACAGCGCTTTTTTGCACAAAAACCTCTTCCGCAAAAAGGAGTAACATAAGAACGGCCGTACTGGGTCAGACCAAAGGTCCATCCGACCCAGTATCCTGCCTGCCGACAGTGGCCAGCACCAGGTGCCCCAGAGAGGGTGGACCGAAGACACGATCAAGCGATTTGTCTCCTGCCATCCCTCTCCAGCCTTTGAGAAACAGAGGCCAAGGACACCATTTTATCCCCTGGCTAATAGCCTTTTATGGACCTCACCTCCATGAATTTATCTAGCTCTTTTTGAAACTGTTAGGCTATGTCTACACTGGCAGGTTCTTGCACAAGAGCATCCATGGCAGTGTGGACACTGTCTTTCAAATGCTCACTCAGTTCCTCCCTATTTGTCAAAACTAAATCTGACCCCTAGCTGCTCTCTCCACGTTCTGAAATAAAACAAATCTCCTCGAATGTGTTCCAATGACTGTTTGGATAAGCTGTGCTCTGTGTTATTTTCCCATCAGATGTCCGGGTAGTTGAAGTCCCCGGTTCCCACCACATCCTGTGCTTTGGAGATTTTGTTTTAAAACAGCCTCATCCACCTCCTCTTCCTGGTGAAGTGGTCTGTATTAGACTCCCTGCTATGACGTCACCCTGGTTTTTACCTCTTCCAGCCTCACCTAGGGTACGGCTAGACTGTGAGGAACTATTGGAAAAAGATACGCAAAGTGTGCTCCGCATTTTGTGTGTCTTTTTCCGATACTTTTGTCGGAAGAAGCTTTTCCGAAATGTGGCCTGTCTAGACTGGGCCAAATGTCAGAAAAAAACCCTCTTTCGAAAGCCCCCTTCTTCCTCGCGGAACGAGGGATACAGGGGCTCCCGAAAGAGCACCTTTTCTCTTCTGCAAAAAAAAACGGAAGAGCAAATGTGTTCCTTGGATGCGGTGGAGTTTTTTCCCAAACCCCCTCTCTACACCCCTCCCCCCAGCAGTCTAGCCGTACCCCTAGAGCCTTTCAGTAAATCTGTCTCTTTCCATCTCAGCCTCAGTGTGCGTGATAGACATGGCAGCACCTCCTCGCTTTTTTCCCTGCCTGTCCTTCCTGAGTAACTTGTACCCTTCCATGCCGATATCCCAGTCTCCTGCAGTATCCCCCCAAGTCTCTGTGACACCGACTACGTCGTGTACGTTTTCTGGGAAGCAGAGATGCACCTTTCACTTGTACAGTTAACACCTTTGTCTGACGTCTTGTGGCATCCACACTTGAAAAGGGCTGCTGCAAACCAGAAGGCTGGGGGAAGAGGGGTGAGGAGGGCTGGGAGCTCAGGCGAGAGGGCAAATATGCAGCTAGATGCTTTTCTGTGGGGCGTCATTTGTTACTGCTTGCCCCGCAGCATGCAAGGCCTGGGGAGTGACCCGTGGGCAGTGCAGCAGACAGCACCTGAGAAGCGTCGGGGAAGGCTGGTCACAGAGTCGGGCTGCTGTGAGGTAAACCTTTCCTTAATGCCCTTCCTTTGAGTTCCCTTCGGTCTCCAGTCTGCCTTCCCCACGGCAATCAGCCCATCCCCCCAGAGGCAGGGCAGCAGCCTAGACACAAAGGGAAAACAAGTGGATGGTGCAAAGGCTCTGAGGCCACCTAGCCCCATGCACACTGCTGCCAGCTCCGTTTTCTGGGGGGGCGGGTGCACGGGCCCCTCACAACGAGTGCCACTATCCCCCCGTCCAGGGGCCTCGGCCATTTCTTACCCTGACTAGAAGGGGAAGGGACAGGCCCACGACTGCCCCACACTCGGCCCTTGTCCCTCACCCCCAGGCTTCCTTGCCCCTTTTCCGAGAGTCCCACCCGAGCAGTGCCCAGTCCCTCCCCAGCCCAGGGTTGGGCCCTGGCGGCAGGGCCATGGGGCTGGGGCCCCGCTGCGCTGGGGGCACGGGCAGGCTGTGGCCGTGGCTGGGGCCTGGCCCGCGGGGCCTCGGGCAGGCGC